GTATAATTAATGAATGTATAGCACAGTTTGTTCCTCACAAGAGCATAAAACGTCATGCCAAACACCCTTGGTATACCAGGCCAATTATACAGCTTAAACGTCGTATTAAGCGACTGAAAAAGCGACGGAGCGTTCACAATAATGACGGGGAGTCCCAAATTAACTTGCTTAAATCTGAACTAAAAGCTAAAATGAGTGATGCCAGAAAGTTTTACTTTAATACCACGTTAAGCTCTTTTATGAAAAATAATCCCATTAAGTTTTGGAAAACTATCAATCCTACCGCGGCCTGTCCGTCAACCTTCATGATAGATGATGTGTCCTGCTCCGATTCATCCAAAATTTCTGAAGCCTTTAATAAGTATTTCCAAACTGTATTTGGAGATGACAATGGAACGACCCCTGACATTCGTAGCAGCCAGGAAATAGATTTGTTTCCAGCAATTGAAATTAGCTAGACTGGCGTTCTTAACCTTCTGTTGAATATCGACACTACTAAAGGTGCTGGGCCAGATGGCATACCAAACATGTTTTTGAAGCGTTATGCAGAATGGAATGCTCGTTATTTATCAATAATTTTTGTTAAATCATTAAAAACAGGTATTGTGCCGACCGTTTGGAAAATCGCCATTGTAATTCCTGTGTTTAAATCGGGTAATAAGCAACACATTTCTAACTACAGGCCTATTTCATTAACGTGTACCTGTTGCAAGCTTTTAGAGCACATAATTCATAAACATGTACTTCAGCACCTCACTAATAACAACTTATTGTCCCGTAATCAGCATGGTTTCCGCTCTGGTTTTTCTACAACTACACAGCTCATTGAATTCACTCACGATATCACTTCGGCTCTTAATACTCGAGGACAGGTTGACGCTATATTCATAAATTATAGCAAAGCATTTGATGTATTATGTCACAAAAAACTTCTTACTAGACTCAGAAGTATTATTAACGATGACAAAATAATAGGCTAGATAGCTGATTGGCTACGTTTGAGGTCACAATTTGTTACGTTTGAGCATGCGCAGTCATCGTCGTGTGCAGTCACTTCCGGGGTTCCACAGGGCTCGGTGCTTGGGCCCCTATTGTTCATTATTTATATTAATGATGTCACACAGGTCATTAAGGACACACCAGTGAAGCTGCGATTGTACGCTGACGACTGCGTTTTATATACTAGCGTAAATAATGCTCATGACCAAGATGTTCTGAACAAAGTATTTTCGTCCTTTTGTGGTTGGAGCGCCACGTGGCAAATGAACATTAATTACCAAAAAACTGCTCAAATGACATTTACTAATAAAAAACAGCCGCTAAGGTTTAGTTATAGTTACAATGGGCACTACCTAAACTCTGTTAATATATTCAAATATCTTGGTGTTACCTACACTCAAAACCTAAAGTGGCACCATCACATTGAAACAATTTGCGCTAGAGCACTTTGAAAACTGGGATACATAAAACAAACACTCAAGCACTCTACCAAGGACTGCAAATTAACGGCGGACAAATCGCTCGTCCGACCATTGCTAGAGTACGCCTCAGCGGTATGGTCACCCTACACTGCACTTGACATAAATATGCTCGAGGGCATACAGAAAAAAGCAATACGATTTATATTTGGCCGGTATGACCGCAATTTTTCTCCCTCATCTCACGCATGCTCATTGTCCCTAGAACCCCTTGCTTTCCGACGCACACTTGACCGTATCACTCTGCTACATAAGATTGTACGCAGCCGCAGTTGCATTGAAGCACCGATTACTTTTTGTGATTCAGCACGACGAACCACGCGCCGATCTCACCCACTCAACATTGTACCCTTCCAGCGATTTGTAAATTGCTTTAAGCATTCCTTTTTTCCAGCCGTTGTTGAGATTTGGAACAACCTAGATGGTTCCCTACGCGAAAAACCAATTGAACTGTTTTTGAAAGAACTGCCTAACCATATTTTGTAATATGTTTTAAATGCTTTGTATGTTTCTTTGGTATTGCTTAATGTATGTTCGTTCCTTTTCCTAATGTACCCACTCCTGCTATGTCTCGTGTATCGAGACAGCAGTATCTGTAAATAAATAAATAAATAAATAAACTAGTCGTTCATATGACGTCGTCATCACCCGTGCATGGGTGCGCACCAGCACTGCAAGACACATGCTCGAAACTGTCTTGCAACCTCACCTGAATTTAGTGAGGATGAGCTTAGAGTTCGAGGATGATAGCACCCCAGCTTCAAGTTTTATGGCGACAATGTTTTGTGTCTTCTTGAGATATCCACAGCCCTTCATGGGTTTGTTTTGTTTACATCCTCAAGTTGTCTCCTCTGGCGCAAGTGCGTATGGCTCCTGACCTTTAAATATCTTATAGCTACCTCTATGGTAACGTGCGTGGTCCACACTTCGCTGGGGCGCGGTGTGCTCGTGCTGGCTGCAGAGCTTCTCCTAATGGCAAGAAGGCCTCCGGAGCACACCTTGGCCCTGACTACGGAGCAGTGCGATACGTTTCAGAACTGCAGGCGATATTGGCTTTTTTTTTAAACGATATGCGCAAAAATGCAAAGAAATATGCTTAGATGCATATACTGGAGCGCCAACCTATGTGGAGTGAGGTGGCTCATGAAAAGAGGCGATGCTAGATGAAATGGCAAAGTTCATTGGTCATATCATTTATAGAGGGCTTATTCACATCAGGGGTATCCATCTACATTGGCACACCTGGAGACTCTTATTGCAAGACAACAAAAATTTACTCAGAAAAGTGTACGGATACACTTGTGTCTCACCAAAAACCATGAAATGCTTCGCCGCATGGCATGAGCAAAGAAGCAGCACCACGGTTCTGATTTTGTTAGTCTATAGGAAGAGAAAGATTTTGTATAACATTCATTATTTTTTATACTGTTCCTGGGTCATTTATCCACAAAGTGCATATTCTGAATTTTTTTTGTTTCGAATATTTTTGCATATATAGTGTATTTTTATTTCACTATTTACCAGCTGGCAACAAAAAATTTCACAGTTTTCACATCTTTCTTCATTCTAAAATATTTTTGTTGCTCTACAACATATATTTTTTGCAAAGAGCATTTCATTGTGCAAAGTTGGTATGCTGCAATGCATGCTGGAGTACTTTTCAAACTGGCAAAAACAATCTTCCCGAGACATATGAAAAACAACCATTTTCGCGAAGTAACGAAAGAGTTAAGCTTTAGTGTTCGGCTTATGCCTACCGGTCAGTGCGTGAAAACTGCGTACCGCGATAACATTTTGCGGCACAAAATTTTACAGCGCCGCTAAACTTGCAGACGTCACAATGTGCCGTGAACGGTTTTCTGTCATGTTGATTGATTGATATGTGGGGTTTAACGTCCCAAAACCACAACATGATTATGAGAGACGCCATAGTGGAGGGCTCCGAAAATGTTGACCACCTGGGGTTCTTTAACATGCACCCAAATCTGAGCACACGGGCCTCAGCATTTTTGCCTCCATCGAAAATGCCGCGACCGCAGCCGAGATTCGATCCCACTACCTGCAGGTCAGCAGTTGAGTACCTTAGCCATTAGACTACCGCAGCGGGGCTTTCCGTCATGTTGATAGTGCAGAGATCAGCCGTTAAGTTATTCGAACTTCAGCATGATTGCAGCGATGGCATATGGAGTATTCATTGGCAAAAAAAACGACGGTGAGGTGTCGACCATCGTCAAACGTGTCGATATGACTAGTCGCCGGCGGAAAGCCTTATCACAGTAAGCATACCCTGTCATCCTCTCGAGCATGCGTGTGGCGTACTGTCACTTTAAGCCTACAGTACGCTTTTAGTAAGCCACCAGCTGAACGTGCTGGGCCGCCGATCACTGCCGATTCGTTTTGCGGGACCATGTCCAAACACGCACCGCTTTACAGAAACACAAGCAGCTCGCTGTCGCGTAGTATAGCGTTGCGGGTCACGAGCACCGAGAAACCTTGCTGTATTATGCCAACACGTGCACCGTACAGCGAGCGTAGTGCTGTTGTTACCATGCTGGATGCTTTTATTTAGGGACAGCCCAACTGCGCCTCTGTCTGCTGCCAGGACTGCTAGAGCATTGCTGAAAGCGCATTACTTGCGGAAAGCTCCTCATCGCTGTATTAACCAGCAGGTTACTCGCCGAATTTGTACATGGCTCGAAGCAGAGAGGGTGTACTATACCGCATCTTAAAAATGAAAACTGCATCAGTTTTTGCTAAGAAGCAGACTGCGGGAAAACTGTATCGCGGACAGTCGATTTTGTCCGTTCTGTTATTGTACCACGCTCCGTATCCCAGAGCCAGCTGTAGTTTCCAAACGCTCATCAGTGTGCCTACCGTATGCTATCAAGCGGTTGTGAGAGAGTCAGAAACTTTTCTGTACTTTGCAAAAAGAAATGGCTTTGCGGTGGGCATTTTGGGCAATATTTCCTGTGGCACTGAGTTTCCTCCTTTGGTGGCGGCGATGGCGCATGCATAGTACGTTAAGTGCGTAGTTATGCCGCCGTCTCCGGCAGGTACGTATTAACAGGGTTTCACTACCTGAACTTGGCCCTTATCCATATCACAGATACAAAAAACTCGGGCAAACTCTTAGCTCGCACCGACCGCATGTGCGATCTCTACAGAATCAAACCAAAGAGGCGGAGAAGTGTTGCCTCTAAACCACGGTGGCACCGCGGCAGCTTTTCGTGCCATATCAAGCTCTCGCACAGTGTGACACCAAATTTTAGTGGCAAGAAAGAGTATTAAAAGACTGTGGTACATGTTGGACAGATAAAGTGCTTCACTGCCACCTGCTCAATCTATGCTTGCTTCACCATCACAGCCACGTGGCAATATTTAGAAATCTGTTCTATTTCACCCCTGCTGTGATAAGAGCCTGCCTTATTTCATTTCTTTCCCCTTACTTCAGAATAGAGTGCTGCATGTCAATTACGAAGCCTAGCCCCGAGAGCTCATAAAGCCAGAGGATGGGCTGCTAACCTCTGCAGCCGATGTCGTGCTAAGGGAGAGCAGAGCGGAGCAGGTTTCCACCTCTCGCAGCCCAGCCGAGCACCAATCGTTACTTGGATCAAAGTCGCTTGTTGGGAATCCTTGGCTCTGAAAGAGAAAAACCACACAAAAGATTCGCCTGCAGTACTGGCAGTTCGGGAGAGTGTTCTGATTGTGCAACATTCTTTGGGATACTAGAATCATCAACGAAGGTTTCCAGCAGAATAAACCCATTTCTGTATGGCACGTTTGCTTGGCAAATTTTGTTTTGCTACAAGCAGGTACATTTAAAGGATATATTAGAGTGCATCGAAAAATAGCCTGGAAAGGGCAAAATGAAACAATTCTGTCATTTCAAGTGCAGATTTAACTTTTCTCTTTATTTATGGAGTGCCTTACAGGCGCTCAAAGTCTTATTATTTTGCTGCGTTCTGTTCAAAAGGTGTGTTTCAGCAACGCACTCAAGTAGTGAAGGCCTCAGATTTTGCCAGGGTTTTCGAATACTACAGCTCCACAATTGCATCTGAAATAAACGAAACACAACAAAGAAAACACGAAGAGAAGTACAATTAGGATACAGCAGCCATGCATGTTCTTGTGCCAGCCTTGTAACAATACGTGCTGACTCAGTACAGTGTAGACCACTCATAACGTAACCGCTTATACCGGTTACAATACCGGTTACAATAAGGTCAAAATCGACTCCCATTTACCTTCCCATAGAACCCCATGTATACACATCCCGCTTCTTGTCCAGTCCCCCAAAATGAAAGACCGATTATATGGCCGGAAAATCGTTACTGTGACAAACATGGTAGTGAGTGTGCATCTCAAAGCACGCACACTGGGTGGGCCACTGGGGAGCGAGCAACGATGTCATTACGGAGGAACAGGAAACGCAGAGTAAACGAACGAAGGGCGGAGGGAGAAAAAACAAAAGGAAAACCAGTGCGTACGCGGCTACAGCGTACTAACATTGCTAGCGTGGCTCCAGTCACTTACTGCCGGTTCCATGTGGCTCAGCATGCATTTGCGATCCCTTTCCTTATCAAGTGCGCTTAAGAGTTGTGGGGGTGCTGACACCCCCCGTGACGTTGTTTGCGCCGTGTGGCGCACGTGTCTCGCCTAAAAGCCGCATTTCGGGTTACAACTACCGGGTGGTAGGTGGCGTTGATTACCACTGTCATCATCATGATTGTGACAGTGGTAGCGCCGGTGGTGACTCCTGGCGGAAAACAAGCCTTGGTGGCGGGCGAGAGTTGAGCGAGTCTTTTCTGTTCGTGGCGGTTGCCGCCAATGGTTGTCTCTCGCAGTGGGTCTGCCGTAGACGGCACCGCGGGCCGCCTGCGGTAGGTTCACGTGGTGAGTGAAGCCTTGGCGACGCCACCTTTTTTGTGCTCTTGTGTTATGTTATCGAGTGTATGGTAACAGTGTGTACGGATGTCGTAGTGTGTTAATTACGATTGATGTATCATTCGGCGGACGATATCATTGTTATAAATTAATGTATGTTACATTAATGTATGTATTATTGTAATAATGTATGTTGTTCTTTGGTTTGTACCGACCATGTCCACTGTGTCCTTTCACTCCAAGAGCGTGGCGCTCGCTTGCCATTTCGAGACCCCACAGACTTTCCTGCTGGGAAAAGCATCATCATTATCAAGCTTGCTACAGATATCGCATTAGTTACTTCGTCCGTAAATTTGAAAGCTTTTACAGCGTTATCACATGATATTTCGTCTTTGCTGCTTTTTTTGGTTGCTAAGTTTTTTGGTTGCTAATCACTAATTTTTTGTTTTGAACAACGAGAAATTGGAATGGTTGTAAGTACCACGCATTGCATGGTTCCATTTCCTGGCATGCGAGTATGCATATTCAACACGTTAGCGCAACCGCAGCCCTTGAAAGAGATTGCTTTGGTTACAGTGCAGTACCGCTTATAGTGCGGATATTCGAGACTCTTGCGAATTACGTTACAAGCGGTCTATCCTATAGTTTGCATGGGCAGTGCTGGATATTAAATTTTTAGCACTTCAAGCTGCGCGAGTACATAAATTAAGGGGCGAAGTGGCAATAGCAATGGTAAATTTGGTGAAAATGTTCAATTTTTCAACTGATCCTTTTCTGCAATCCTGAGATCATGTTTTACGTCATGGTAAAATATTAGACCAAAATATGTAGCAGAAGATGAGAAAAAAGCATTTAATTGGTGGACTGTCGTCAAAAATTATGAGAAATTGAGTCTTAAAAATGCGTATCTGCAGCTTTTTCATGGCACAGTGCCACTATATTGGCATCATCGTGGAGAGGACAGATCACAGCTCAAGACGGCTACAAAACTGCATTTCTTCAATGAAAAAAGAATTAATAAAGCCAGCTCTCTTCCAACTTCAGTTTTCCTTGCTTCTACCTCCAATTTTTTTTAGCTCCATTTTCTCAGCTTCAATTTTTGAGCAGTTGCTGTCAGTCATCCATTTCGCAAGAAATTAAGTTACAGTAAAATCTCATTTATTCGGCCACGGCGTCTGGTCCCTTCCAAAATGTACATTGTTCAATGACTGAATACTCTCATTATTTCGGACAAATTTGACCGCGCTTCGGTTAATTCGAACGCCCAACCGCGGTTGAGTCACAACGGGGAAGCTGTAGCGGATTCTGTCCGCCATATCGACGGCACATCTAAACAACTTTGGGATCAGATTGCGGCCTCCGAGAAAACTTCGTCCATGGGTAGTACATCTCGAAGGCACACAAAAAAACACACATACGCACATGGGGGTTTAAATAACCAAATCAAAGGCAGTGCATCACTACTGTCATCAGTAACGGGCAATCCACAGATCTGCCTATCTTTTTTATTGCGTGCCGAACACGTTTGCGTGATGGTTGAGTTGGATTGCTCACGTCTAGTGTGCTTTAAATTATTTAATTTATCTGTACGTGATTAGTGTCATCTGCAATCTTACTGTTTGCTGTTTTTCGAAAAGTCTGCCGGCTGTATTTCGTTTTTATCACCGTGCGTGTGAGTATTTGTGTTGTCTACATTGTGCACGCGCGCGAGCGATGCCGGGATGGCTTCCCTTCAGTCTCCTGCGGCCCCAACCGCCCCAACTCCCGCAGCGAAGAGGGCGAAGTACGAAGCAAAGAATTTGGCTGCGAAGGTGAAAATATTGAAGGTGTTGCAAGTGGGAGCATCTCGAAAAAAGTGACCGCTTCAACGAGCGACACAGGCTGCTGTTCTGCAACAAGTGAGGTGAAAGAGGAGCGGTTGACGAAAGTGATGTGCAGGAGTGGCGGTCTGGACTATTCGCGCGCCTTTCTACGTACGAGCCATGCAACATTTTCAACGCTGATGATACAGCGCTGTTCTATAAGGCTCTGCTTGACAAGACAATCGCATTTAAAGGTGACCCGTGCGTCAGTGTAAAATGAAGTAAAGAGCGCGTGATAGTATTCTGGCTGCTAACATGACCGACACAAAGCGGCTGCCACTGTTGGTGATAGGGACGGTGGCGAAGCCAAGATGTTTTAGGAATATCAAGCAGCTGCCTGTCGACTACCGGTTCAACAGAAAGGCTTGGATGACTGCCGAACTCTTTCAAGCCTGGCTGCATCAGCTCGACTGCTGCTTTGCGGCCAAGGCTCGGAAGGTGTTGTTTTCGTCTAGCCAACTGTAGTGCGCACACGAAGGTGTTTGGGCTCGGGAACATTGAAGTGCTATTCCTGCCTCCGAACACAGCGGCTTCCATGCAGCCGATGGACCAGGGAATAATATAGTTCGTGAAAAGCCGCTATTGACCCAGGTACTCGAGCGGATGTTGCTCTGCATGGAGTGAGGCAAGCAAAACGAAGTAAGCCTGCTAAGCACAATCCACATGCTGACATATGTGTGGAATACCACACCACCTGCAGTAGTCGCAAACAGCTTTAGGCATAGCGACCTCGTGCATGACGCTGCTGATCCGGGTGTGGTGGCCGATGAGGAAACCGGCGAAGAGCAAGACGGTCGCTATGTGAGCATCATGCGAGCTGATGTGCCCCCTTGGCAATAGCTTCGCAATTGACAGCGATGTTGCCATGGCCGGCACAGTGACCGACAGTGATATCGTTGCCGAAGTCTTGGACGACAAAGGGGAGTGCCGTAGAGTTGTCTGTAATTGTGTCCACATCATACAAACTTTTATAACTTGCTTTTTGTAAAAGTTGTGAGTGAGACAGTATGCCAAGCACATTAAAAAAAAATTTTTGTGTGCTTACTTGAGCATTAAAAATAAACCAATAGCATTATGGCACAGAATGGGCCCTAGTGAATACTATTATGCAAAAATCTTGACGAACGTGTGTCTAATTAATTAATTAATTAATTTTTGGGTGACAGTAGGAGTTTATTAAGTGTTGTAACTCAAAAACTATATTTACATAGCTGAAAAGCAATCTCAGTTGTAATATCCGCACAACAATTGACAACTGCATGCCAAATTTTATCACTTCATCTCCATAAATAACAAAAACAATTTTCATTGCCCCTTCCCTTCTTGACATGCTCAGGTAAATAAATGAGCAGCACTGCACCTACGAAGGACAACAAAAAATGGCGTGAGCACTGACTCACAAGTGAAAAATTTACTGTCACGGGGTCGCGACGTGGCCGAAGACAGAAGACTTCGTGTTGGGATTTAACTGTTTATTTGGGCGAACCTGTGCCCGGTAAACGGAAAGCCAATTACAACAGTAGTCTTGCACAGATAGCAGTCTCGGACTGATAGCGGCGAACAGAGCGTCGGCCTTCGTTCAACAACTGACAAGCGGCGAAGCGCGTTGGCATTTATACTCCCGCCGTCGAATGTTCTAGCGCTACCGCTGGCGGCGGCATACGTTCCAGAACAATCTGTACCATTCGCACAGTGGGCGTGATCTTATCGAAATGATCTACTACAGTCCGGAACCCTCTCGAAAAACTGCAGGCGCGGTTTGCGCTGAGAATCGTGTGGTGGTTTGGGACGATAACAAAAACTTGGGAAATGGAACGTGGCATTGCCCCCCTCTGAAAAAGGCATCGTCTCGATGCTTTAACTAAAGATGAAGGTACAATAATAATGCAAGAA